CCCCAAAACCCCAAAACCCCAAAACCCCTTGAATCAATAATTTAGGTTTAAAAGAGATAATAAAATCAAATAGATAATCGTTGGTAATTATAATAGCCTCATAAAATCTCATATTAGGTTGTTTTAATCTAGTTATTCTTGGCTAAATTTTCAAAAGCTCTGTGGAAATCCTCATTCATCTTGGGAATTCCGCATACCCACACTCTTTGTAATTCTCTGTCTCCATAAACACTTAGAACTTTCTCAATGAATCCATAATCCCATCTAGTCTTAACAGCGTTACTGAACCTAACATTAAACTCGAAGTTCTTAAGCCCTTTACTTTCACAGTAAGTATGTAGACCCTTGCACATCTCATAGGCAATCGAGTCTTGTTCACTCTAGAAAGAAGCATATAGAATGAACTTGAAATCTTTGATGCTGATTTGCGAATCCTCATCTGGAGGGAGAAGGTTCAGATTTTTCCGAATGAGATGAGCTACCAAGTCCACAAAGACTAGGATGCCAGTGCCTGCTGTAAATGCAATATGAGTTCCAGAGGGATGAATCTGTAGACCTTTACCCAATGGACCTTGAACTTGAAAGGTATCATTTTTCTACTCATGAAGTCTTCTTGAAACTCCCTACTATGTTCTGTAATTTTTGCAAGTTATTGAAAAGCTGCCTCCTGATTTCTCTTAAAACAAATCCTATTTCTCTTAATAAGCATTGCTATTGCCTTTTAGCAGCTCTAGATATACTAGATAAGCATTAGGCTCCATACAGTTAGCGACAGTATAGTGTCTCTTTACTTGCTTATTCTTGATACTTCTGACTAAGTAGTGTCTGCCTATCATTTAAATGTCCTTGAAGTATCTTTGGAAACCTACTTACTAGTTATCTTCTCTCTCAAATATAATTGTCTGCGTTAACTTGTTTACATTGTTTGAAGATTTTATCCGCATATTGGCTACCTATGATGTAGCAAGATTGTCTAACTAAGCAACTATAAGACCATTAACGATATATCGAGCCATGTTGGAATGTGTGTGAAGTGGAGGAAGTTTGGTATAGTTTTCTAGTGAGTAACCTCCGTAGAAAAACTTCGATACATCCCTTCCAATATTAGCTTCTAACGAGAACTTGCCACCAGGGTGATTGGGCATGTACTTGCTAACATCCAAAACAAAATCATCTAATAGAACTAGTTTCTAGCCACTCTAGACTCTTGACTCAAACTCTTAGACTGTGATTTTTATCATGGAACTCTTAAAGGGACTCTCTCTTCTCAGAAATACTTGATACATTATCTCAATCAGAACCCAAAGTAAAATATAGATCACTATATTAGGAATCCAGAGATCTGACTATGGGTAATGTCTTTCATTATAGTGAAGAACACCAGTGAGCACTGCTGCCTGACCAATACACAGCATTAAATATCCATAACTCTATAAATAAAGACATTAATCAACTATTATCCGAAAACTAATCTCATCCCAATAATTATAGAGAAAGAATCTAAACCTTACCTTGTGGATATTTTTAAAAATAAGTATAGTTGAAGTCTTCCATCTCAGCCTGACCATCCTGCTTCTGGTTATTATTCCTCCAGCTACCAGCAAGGTGATACCAAAGAAGACTATGAAGCCAAGAATGTGATGCACATATTGCCCGAAGAAGATGTACTTGTGATTTCTTAATCCTATAATGGACATTATTACAGTAAGGATGAAGATCAAGGTCCCCACAATTCTGTGAATCCACATGTTTATCTTCCAGTATATTTTCAAGTAGCGATTCACTGACATTTATATGAACCCCAAAACGCTCCATGCGACCCAAAGGAACCAGCCATGCACTTTAGCCATTAATTGATAATCCCATCCTGTCGATGAAGTGTCTCGCTGGAAGAGAATGTCTCCATTATTGGAAACATAAGCCTCAAATGAACCTCTGCCATTATGCTGAATCAAATTTGAGGCTCTCCCTATATATTAGGTATTAGTATTTGGCTTGCTGCTTATCTAAGATTCTTACCAATTTAATTGCTTTGTCCTTAGAGTCAGTTGTCACCAGTAACCGAGAAGCCTAGAATTGTACATGAGTGGAGTTTGATGTATAATTATACAAATAGTCCTGCTATGAGTCAGTCGCAGGAACAGTCTCATCATAAGAATACAGATCAATCACCTCAGGTACGGTAGATGATTTGAATACCACCATGTCTACATTCATCATGCCAACGCCATAACCGAATGCCAAATATTGGCCTTTCTGTAGATGTACAGTATACTTAATATGAGTTTTGCCTTCAATTTCAATTCTGGCATAGCTGCCTTCTTGATAAGATACCTCATACTTCTCTAGTGAATTTACTGTGCTTAGAGCTATAACAAGAAGTAATGATAAAACAGTCAACTATCTATTCGGTTTAAGAATAGAATTGTCAGTAGGCTTTGTAAGCATTAAATGAAAATATAATAGAGTAAATTCAAATTATCAAAAATAGTAGAATTATTCTAATACAATCAATTTTTTAATTTATGGTCCAAGGGGTTTTGGGGTTTTGGGTTTTTGGGG